TAAAAGACTGTTTCGTTCAGATAGTATTGATTAATTTATTTTTGTGAGTGAATATTTTTATTATTGTTCAGTTTTTGTTATAATAAGAGTTAAAAGCAGATGAATGTAGGAAGTTTTGTTAATAATTCATTGACGTTGAGAATATAAATGATGATGATATAAATAGTGTGAGACGAGCGGGAAGCAGCAGACAGACATAAGAAGACAGATAATAGCGAAAGAGAATAAAGTTGGCGTGAAGTTAAGTACCGAAGATGTTATAGGCCTAACATTTAATATTGTTGCGTCAGCGAAGTCACGTGAATATTGTCACGCCACCTATTTTCTAGAAGTATCTTGTTCCTTCGTGAATGCCCTAGCATTTACTAGATATATGTTTGTCTGGTATATAAATAAGACGCTCACAACGTGACGGAATAATGTGTGTGTAGACAGTTAGTAATTGATCTGCAGTCAGAGAGTATTATTGAAATTGAGCACGTTCATTGTTATAGCGTTTGTTTTAGCGCGATTGTTGAAATTAAGTGTATCGTAAAGTTATATTCGGAAAGAACAAACCAGTTTTATTAAGTAAGGACTTGTGTCGCTAAAGTTTCGTCTGAACGAACTTACGGAAAATTAATTAACAAACGGAAACGTAACAATATGTTAGAGTGAAACGAACAGTAGAAAAGAAGATAAGAGATGTAATTTTATTCCGTCAAAGCGTAGTTCTGAAGTAATTGAATCAGCATGAGTGCACTTTGACAAAAGGAACAGAGGATCTTCAAAAGAAAGAAGACCAAATGATTACAGCAACTCGCGCCACAATTGTAAGTGAATCACAGAGAATACTAGTGCGATAGAAATAGAGAAGATAGTTCTGCTTGTCAACTGAAACTGAAGGTAACTGAATAGGCCTAAGTGGATATTTGACAAGAAGGAGAGAACTACATATGTAGTATTAATGATATGTCCATAATATGTATAGTGTTGAAGAATTTATTGTACGTACTTTAACTTGTTCTGAATATATATATATTATTTAGAAAACAGGTGAAGTGCGTGATGTTTATTCATCGTCAAATTTATCGCTAACAAGTCTCAGACACCAACTGTAGAAGAATCCTAAGCTCAACAACAACATAGTATATATTTATACTATTAAGAAATATAACTAAAAGTCTTTTTATTTTGATAATTGATAAAGAACAGATTTTTTAATTTTGAAGCACACGTGTGCAAACATTGTATTGAGCCATTCACAAGTGTATTACACCAGTAAATCAATTAGAAAAATAACACGAACGTCAAGCAACAAGTGAATTTAATTTAAAAGTTTACTATGAACGTTAAGGCACTGTTACATGAAATAAACTGATTAACGGCTGTGGCGTATCGTAAACTTAATATTTTCATTGCTACTTTCATTTTGACACTGGAATATTTGGCATTTTAATTGAAACCTTACACTACATTTGAGGAAAAACACAGGTTTGCCCTATATTTTTAGTAATAGTAGTAAAAAATATTTTCAGTGGATAAAAAAAATTCAAGAAATAAAATTATCTATGGAAAGTGGTATCCACTAACAATGGCTTATGGTCATTCTAAAGTATTGTCACGACAGCGGAAGTCACGTGACGCTGGTAACACGTTATGCGTTCTAGAAGGTTCCTGAAGGCTCGAGTGTTTGCCAGACGCCCTCTATTTTGTATATATAAGACCCGCAAGAAGTTACGAGAGATAATTGCAGACAGACAGAAATGGACAATTGAGTCAAGTGCAG